CCTCACTCGTCCTGTACAGAGTACAGCAACACAAGAACAAGCTGGTAATGATCGCCGGGGTCCAGCCCGAGACATGCAAGCCTCCTCCGTCCTTGCACTCCGCCAGCAAATTCTACTCTAAACAGCGGAAAGAGGTACCACTCAGGGCCGTGTGAACCACACGCCAAGGGCTTGTTCATAAAGACTTGACGGGAGGAATATGCATCACGCTCCTGCGGCTGAGCATCACGGAAGAACGTGTCATTTGACGGGGGCTCTTCTCCGAGACACTCAGACAGCCAGAGGATACTGGTGTCGTGCCGATACTTAAAACCAGGCAGTCAGGGTTCTTTCTTCCGATGTATTCCTGCTCACGGTTGGCCGTCCGTTGTGCAACTGCCCCAAAAAGCTGGACGCATACAACGCTGCTTGGGCATCAACCAAGGCGAGGCAGAGCACAATGGCCGACGGGCTTCTCGACCCGTATCCCGCGAATGGCGGCGCAAAGCAGAAGCAGCACGAGGACTGGTACGCGGACTACTCGCAGCGACCTATGACCCCCAGAGATAAAAGCCCCCGAGGCGTCAGCCCGGGCGGCAGAAGCCCGAGTGCTCGAAGCCCAAGAGCTACGAGTCCCTTCTCCCACGCAGCCATCATGCCGAGAGATGCGGAAAGGGCCCCGAGGAAGCTCATTTTGTGCTTTGACGGGACGGGAAATAAGTTCCATGGCGACGAGAGTGATAGCAATATTCTGAAAATATTTCGAATGTTGGATCGATCCGCGGGTGACCAATATCACTACTACCAACGTGAGTCTTGCATTTACACACATCATGTCTCTACGTCGTACTGGCCGCTGACACTTTTGTCCGTGGAGCTGGCATTGGCACATATGTCATCTCGGACTCTCTTTCTCACAGCGGCCTACGAGCTCGCATTAGCTCGTGGTACCAAAAGGCCAAGGATTCTGCCATTGGCTCGTCGTTTGATCAACATGTTGTCGGTGGATATCGCTTCTTGATGCGCTTTTATCAGACGGGCGATGAGATTTACATGTTTGGCTTCAGCCGTGGCGCCTACATTGCGCGATTTCTCGCTGAAATGCTCGACTACATTGGCCTCTTGTGCCACGGAAACGAAGAGATGGTGAAATTTGCCTGGAAGGCCTTTGCCCAGTGGCAGGCCAGAAAACCGCCCTCCAAAGAAGCGGACGATGAGGAGGACGAGTCCGAGGAGGATAAAGAAACGCGCAGAATGTACAACTACATGAAGGGATTTCGGGAGACCTTTTCACGTCCGGTGGGCCGGATCAAGTTTCTAGGCTTGTTTGATACGGTTAATTCGGTGCCGCGGTTTGAAGCTGCCTGGATGCAGCGGACCAAGTTCCCCTACACGGCTCGCACCAGCGCCAGATTCATTCGACATGCAGTCAGCATTGACGAACGTCGCGCCAAGTTTCGCCAGGACCTTCTTTATCAAAAGCCGCCGAAACATGAGCACCATCGTCGTGTCCGTAGTGAACACATGGCGGGCATGATTGACCGTATTCGACGAAGCATAGATGTGTCTCACGCACACTCCGAGGAGAAGCATGCTTTGCCTCCCGTGCCCATAGAGAAGGAAAGGCATGGGAGTCAGTTTCTAGCGCCTGGCGACGCGGGACGAGGACGGCGTGGCGCCGTTTCCCACAAGCATCATTACGCACCGTATCGAGCACGGTCCAGATCCAGGCAGAGAATGGCACAGGGAGCCCTTATGGAAGACCAGGATAACATGTCTTGCTCCGATGCCTCTCAGTGGGAGGCTGAAATGGATGACTGGCAGAATGAGGACCAGGATATCGATGAGGTTTGGTTCGCGGGCGGCCACGGCGACATTGGCGGAGGCTGGGAAGCCCTAGACGGCCGCAAGAGTGCGAGTCACGTACCGCTATCGTGGATGGTTCGCGAAGCCATGAAAGCTGGCCTTTCGTTTGACCTGGATAATATCACGGAGATGGGGTGCCAAGATGTATTCGATAAAGTCCGGCCCTCGGCGCGCGGCATGAAGTCTAGTCGAGCAAGCCAGCCAGCCATCCAAGTGGAAGACGAGGCAGGCCATGTCCAGGGCGCACAAATCGGACAATCGAGCCCAGACATCGGACCACGCGATTTTGTGGCAGGAATTGCGCCCGACTCCGACAACATCTCGCCGTTTCATGAGCTCATGCATAAAGCCCACACGTCCCGGATTCACGACTCCCTCGAGTATGGCGGCGGGTTAGGCTACATGGCTGTCTCGGCATGGAAATTCATGGAATACCTGCCCTTCCGTCGCATGGACCTCCAACCCGATGGTTCTTGGAAACCTATTCGATGGCCCTTGCCGTGCGGTGAGGTACGAGATATGCCGAATAATGTGCGCGTCCATGGTAGTGTCATCCGTAGATTAAAAGAGGACGAGACCTACAGACCGGGTAATTTGATTATTGGAGGCGGAGGAAGAGGTGTAAGACGGGCGCCAGCGGAATACGGCATTGGAGATTGGATATGCGTTGCTGGCCATGGCGACCCAATTGGTGAGATATGGGAGAAGAAGCCCAAGGAGGTGAATGGGAATGGAACCAATGGAACCAATGGAACCAATGGGACTAATGGGGCAAGACACTGATTGTGCGGGTTTTCGAGAGATAGGAGATTGGGCGGTACGATCTGGCACAATTTGAGCCGAGTTGAATATCTGGCATCGCAAGCAGATTTGCTGCGGTGATGATGTATTTTATCTCATTTTATTTCATTTTTTTCTTCTTTTGGCGGTTGCTTTCTCGTCACGTGGCTGCAGCTCAGGGACCACAAGCTTCACCTGTGCAAGCTCCAACCTCCCCCCTATCCATCTACAACTTGGTTTGCCCATTCGCCTCGACACATCTTTCAATTTCATTAATGGCATCTGCAATCTTTTCCAGACCTTTGTAGTATCTTCCGACTCGCCGGCCCGAGTCCGCTCCGTTAAAATGCCAATTCCCTTCCTAATGTACGTCATCGGCCACGGTCCGCCGGACTGGCTTCGCGACAACGCATACACCATCATAACCGTCGCGACGACTGTAACATTGCTTTACTTCTTCAAGAGATGGACGTCTGGGCAGTTGAATCCCTCAGAGAAGAACCTCCACGGCAGAGTGGTCATGTTTACTGGCGGCACATCGGGGATCGGTGCGTTAGCGGCCCAGGAAATGGCGGCTCGAGGTGCTCAAATAATCCTCCTGACACATACACCGCCTTCCGATCCCTTTCTTGTCGAATACATACAAGACATGCGCGACCGAACCAATAACCAGTTGATTTACGCCGAGCAAGTCGACCTATCGAGCTTACATAGCATCCGAAAATTTGCGACAAAGTGGATTGACAATGCGCCGCCACGGAGGTTGGATATGATTGTGCTCTGTGCTGCAACAATGACACCGCCGGGGGGCAAGAGGCAGGAAACGAAGGAAGGCATCGAAGAGACATGGATGGTGAACTATTTGGCCAATTTCCACCTGCTGGGGATATTGAGCCCTGCAATCAAGGCACAGCCGTTTGATCGAGATGTGAGGATCATCATGGCGACGTGCTCGTCGTACATTGGATCACCTTCTTTGAAGGAACCCGTCGTCGAAAGAAATTGGTCTCCGTCTACGGCTTACGCTAGAAGCAAGCTTGCCCTTACCGTGTTTGGCCAAGCATTTCAGAAGCACCTTGACACCTACAAACGCCCCGACCAGCTTCCAATGAACGCCAAGGTCATTTTTGTTGACCCTGGCCTGAGCCGAACGCCAGGAATGCGACGCTGGCTAACAAGAGGGTCCCTCTTTGGCCTGGCCATCTATGTCGTTGGGTATGCGTTTCCGTGGCTTTTGCTCAAGTCGCCATTTAGAGGCGCGCAATCTATTCTTTACGCAGTCATGGAATCTAGCTTAGCCGTAGGTCACGGGGGCAGGCTGATAAAGGAATGCATGGAGGTGGATTTTGCTCGCAGCGACGTGAGGGACGACGAAATGGCCAAAAAATTGTGGGAGGAAAGTGATGCATTGATTGAAAGGACAGAGAAGGCGTCAGCCAAGGCCAGGGCTGTTGAAAAAGCGGCAAAGGACAAGGAAGATGAGAAGAAGAAGGAACAAGACAAAATCGAAGAGATTGAGGGGCTAGTTGATACGATTCGAAAGGGCAAACAGAAACAACAACAAAAGCAGGAGAAGGAGAATCGAAAGTTGAAGAGCGGGAAGAATAAACCGTAAGAGAAAACAGTTCAGGCTATAGACTCGAGCCGTCACTAATATATCGATGACTAGTTGAGTGTATGGGGGCACCGAACTTGAATTCTCTCTGTACGGTCAGGTCCTCCAAGCCTTCCCTTGTGATTGATCGTGTTGTCGATATGAACGATTAAGGGGTCTGCTGATGGTGACAGCTGTGCTAGTGCTTCAAGACACCCGCTCGAAGCATGAGGACCGTCGAAGTCTTGCGATACTAGACTCAACGATGCCTTGTTCAGACAGATGCATAGTATGCCTTACTCTGTCTCCGATTACCTTTTCTCGTGTGTTGGAGCATCGACTTGCATTGCGCTATATCACAAACGCAACTCCGTGCCGACCTGGCCGTCTCATCGATGGATTGTTCACTGCCTCCTACGGGTGAGTGAGAAGTAGGTGACCGCCGGTTGAGCTCATACGCTTGGGCCACCCGAGCCTGACGATATGACTGTCGTTTGACGCTGATGTGCTGGCCACCTGGCAGCGACACACGAGGCCCGCGTATCCTTGCCCTTCAAACGGATGGTCCTACAAACTGCCGGCCTGTACCAAACGCGAAACTCTCTCCGGCTTCTGCAACCGGATGAGCTCATTCTTTACCATAAATAGGGTCCTATTTCCCGATCCTCCACCAGCTGCTGAGGTTCATGGCGTATCCATCAACAGCGTAGCCTCTCTACCCTTCAACCAAGGCAAATTTGTTGCGCCAGATCCAACAAGTAGTATTGCGACATAAATCATCATGTACGAAATTCAAAATGTGCCAGGAAAGGGGAAGGGTCTCATTGCTACTCAAGCCATTCCAAAAGGCACCCGCATCATTTGCGAAAAGCCCATCATTACCCTACCTGAGCCCACGACAATGAGCAGGGCGCAGCTCGCGACACTGATCTGGAGGCAAGTTGGTGCCCTCAGCAATCATCACCAGCAGGGATTTCTGGCCTTGCACGCCGCTCGTACCTTCGAAAATGTTGTGCAAAAATATCTTGAAATTGTTGAAACGAATGCCTTGCCAGCTAATGATGGCGAGTATGGTATCTTCCTCCAAGCATGTCGCATCAACCATGCTTGTGATTACAATGCCCTGAATAACTGGAATAAAAACATTAAACAACACACAGTTCACGCCTTGAGAGACATCGAGAAAGGGGAGGAGATCACGATATATTACATAGGCCGCTACTGGAATCGCGTAACCCGAATTCGGACACTCCAGGAACGCTTTGGATTCATATGCTCTTGCGGTCTATGCTCTTTGCCACCAGATCAAAGCCAAGGAAGCGATAGGAGACTGGGCCAAATTAATCAATTTGACGATTTAATTTGCAAAGGTGGTTTTCAGGGATTTTTGTCTAACCCTCTCCAAAGTCTTCGCTACGTGGACCACCTGCTGCAAGTCTACAACGAGCAAGGTCTGAATGGCCCGGGCTTGCCGACGGCCTATGTTTGCGCCGCACATATTGCTATCGCTCACAATGACTTGGCAAGGGCTCAAATCTTTGTTGGCCGAGCCCTAGATGGATGGATATGTCTCGAGGGCGATGATAGCGACAAGGTAATTGAGCTCAAGGCTCTGGCACATGAAGTATCGCAAGATGAGCTGCACGGGTTATCGATGAAGTGGAAAACAGCCGTGAACGACGTTCCCCAGGGCCTTGACCCAGCTGACTTGGAGGACTGGCTTTGGCGCAGAGAAAAGCCGAGACAACCAGGGCAGTTGGCTGATCTTAGAGACCGGACAACTTTTCCTGCATTTCGTGGCCTCCCACACGACGAGTCATACCACTTTCACGATCCCAACGAGCTGGCGGGCCATTCGCGACGTAATTGGTGCTTTTTGGCGGAAATCCGGCATGTAACCGCATTGATTCGTCTGCATTTCGAGATGAAAGATGTTGATGGAGAGACACTTCCATTGTTTTTTCACACTGATAGTCGGGGAATGGAGCTGGAACGAGCACGGGTCAAAGAGGGATTCACGGTGGCAATTCTACAAGCGAAACAACACTCGTTTGCGTTTGACAGACCCGGAATTCGCCACGAGCAACCTTCGCGGATTAAAGTAAGCCACAAACCTGGTACTATATGCGCAGTTTGAAATGTTACTTACCACTATCTGTTTGTAGATCTTCCCCGTATCTCTTGACAACCTGATGGCATTGAGCGATCGAATCCAACAGTTCTCGGTGGAGGCCAACGGTACACGAATGTGTCACGGCTGTGGGACGAAAGCGGCCTCTTTGAAACAGTGTGGCAAATGCCACATTTTTTGGTATTGTGGACAGGTAGGGTTCCGAAAATATTCATCCTCCCTTTGATGATGTGACGTGCTGATTCGGACGTGTCAGGACTGCCAAGTTGCTGGATGGAACAAGAACGGACACAAGGCTGATTGCAAACTTCTCAAGGATGAGGACCTTCGGTCATTGTTTACCACTGACTGGGACAAGTTCGAGAGTGGTATCCAATTTCCGCTCAGCAAGTAGAAGGCGTAAAATCATTGCTCCTTTGGAGCATACGGCGTATGCATGTCCCTCTGTCGATGGACAGCACTCGTCAAGGCTGGTGGAGACGTGAGCTCATGGAGCCGGAAATATTGATGATTGACCTGGTATCGTTAGAGGAGATTGGCAGTCACATTGCAGTTTTGGAGTTGCCTTGATTAAGTAGGTGACAAACACAACGGTCAGTTGACGGCTGAGCCATATTGTTCGGCACCCATGTGGAAGAATTGAGAATTGGGAAGTTGTGTTGCGAGTGGCTATTTCCTCCTAAAATTAGGATGGTGCTTGAGGCTTAGGGTTAAAAGTAGTTCGACCGAATAGATATGGTGTCTCATATGTTGTGTGCAGCTGTTTTGGACCATTGTCTCGATTCGGATAAAGTTAGTTGAACAATGTTTAGAGGCGGAAGAGTCTAAAACAAGAATTACCTCATGACGCAATGGAGTCATGGATTAGGTTATTCAAGCCCTTAAGCTTAAATCCAAGCTAGTCATTTAGCCAACCACCCAAAAGAGCTTATGGATCGGACCAGATTTCATCACCAATTGTTGGGGACCAATAGTGCGGAACTAGCGGCATGAAACTTTTATGAACCAAAGCATGGATTACTAGAAGGCGTCTACGTGAACCTAGAAGGGTTAGTTAGCTGTAAACCTCTCGGAATACATGGCGGTTCTTACGCTTGTGTAAATGATGAGGCTTGAAGATGAATGGCGTTACTTATACTACACAAACTATCTTGTCTAAATCCTTCAAGCCATCTCCCTAGTCGCTCTGCTAGCACAAGTCAGTCTTGACAAGAAGCCAATATAAAACAGGCCTCAATTCCATACCCAGATCCAATCAAGAACCAGTTCTATAGTCAACTCCATCACTGATTTTCGTGATACTACCACTCCGATTACGCGACCTACACACGCATTTGCATCTTCATCTTCATCATCACCAACCTAGGCCTGGCTATCAGCTGCCGCAAACGCCTTGGTTATAAAACATCCCCAGCTTATTAACTCCCTCGTACAGAAATACTCCTCACCTCCATACACAGGACAGTTTGTATTGTTCTAATATAACCGTCTTTCAAGATGAGAGCCTCAGTTCTCCTCGCCTGGCTCACCACCACGGCGGGCGTTGCCCTGGCCGCCCCCGCCGTCAAGGACGTGGCCAAAGACGTGTCCCCAACGCACAAGGAGTTCGTGCTCTTCCACAGCTCCAACATGAAGGGCGCAGACAAGCTCCCCTTCGCCGTCAGATTCCACTCGTTCCGCGTCCCCGCCCTCGTGACGACGTCGACAGGCCGCGTGCTCGCCTTCGCCGAGGGCCGGCGCTACGACAACCGCGACGTCGGCGACGTCAAGATCGTCATGAAGCGCACCAAGGAGGTCACCAGCCACGGCGGCAACCCCAACGACTGGGAGGGCCTACACGTCGTCACCAAGGACGACGGCGTCTGGACCAACCCCACGCCCGTCGTCGACGGCAACACCATCTACCTCTTCCTCAACTGGCACAACGCCAAGGTCAGCCACGAGGGCGACGACAAGCTCCACAACGGCAAGAAGACCGACAAGATTAACGGCAAATGGAAGACCCGACGACACCTGTACGTGACGCAGAGCACCGACGACGGCCAGACGTGGTCGGACCCCAAGGAGATGACGAAGCAGCTCACGCCCAAGGGGCTGGCGTGGGACACGGTCGGCCCCGGCAACGGCATCGTCCTGACGACGGGCGAGGTCGTGGTGCCCGCCATGGGGAGAAACATCATCGGCCAGGGCACCCCCGGCCAGCGGACCTGGACGTTCAAGATGCTCAAGGGCGCCGGGGACGAGGGCACCATTGTGCAGACGCCCGACGGCAAGCTGTACCGCAACGACCGCGCCGGCAAGGACGAGGAGTACCGCAAGATTGGCCGCGGGACCCTCGACAAGTTTGGCAAGTTTTCCCTCGACAAGGGCCTCCCGGACCCGGACTGCGCCGGCGCGACGCTCCTCTACCCGGCTGACGGCAAGGGCCCGGCGCGCGTCGTGTTTCTCAACTCGGCGGACAAGAATACCCGGCGCGCCATGCGTGTCCGTATCAGCTACGACAAGGACGCAAAGGGGTACACCAGCGGCCGGAAGCTGGCGGATGCGCCTGTCGCCGGGGCCGGGAACGAGGGCGGGTACGCGAGCTTGACGAGGACCGCTGATGGGGAGGTTGGCGCGCTGGTCGAGACAAACTTTGACCAGACGGGTGGCTCCAAGGATGATCACTACGCGATTATCTGGAGAAAGTTCAACTTGAGCTGGGTGTTGCACGGGTCCAAGTAGTATGTGTTTTGAACTTTGGATACGGATGCGGAGAGGGCTTGATGGAACTTTTCACCGGGCGACCTGGGCATGGAATACAACGCTCGCGTATGGTGTGGCAGAAGCAGCGCTTTATTTGTTTCGGTTGCTTGATTTGCTGAGGATGTAGGTTAGATGAAATAGATAATGGTAGTCAGTTGCTCCTATGCATGTGAGAATGCGCATTGTGTTGACCAGTGAGCCATGGAACGAAGAGATGGGGCGATAGGGGCAGAAAGTACGCATTATACCGTTGTATTCAGTCTCAATGGCAAAAGACAACTAACTACCAGATCCAATCAAGGAATGAGCGGGGTTTCTCAGCCTGTAACAACGTAAAGAGGCATTAAGAAGGTGAACAATTGGTGTTGATCGGATGGCAAAGCTCCAGGCTCGTGAGACGTGGCACGACTCAACACCAAATTACCTGCTCGTCCAAGACAATGACAGCCACAGCCATGCTAAAAAGCCTCCTCATGCGTGGTGTATTAAAAAGTGACGGGCAGGTACGTAATCCCCACGTCTTTGTGCAGCGGTGAGAATTCAATATCGTCTTCCCGCACGGCAATCTTCAGGTCTGGCAGCCGCTGGAACAAGGTAGCTTCAGGGCAGACGCGGTCAGCACAGCGCTCGCTCGGTATACTAATCAGGGTGGACGTGTTTGTTTCTACGTACCAAACACAGTGGTGAGCTCTGCCACCGCCAAGGTCTCCGCGATGCATCGGTGGTCGCCAAAACCAAACCCTAGAGGGTCCTCGGCAGGCCACGTACGGTTCATATCGAATGTGTCGGGGTCGGTAAAGATGTCGGCGTCCCGATTCGCCGACTGGTTGGACGCGATGATGCCTTCTCCGGCTTTAATACGCTGCTCCGTGTCAGTTTTGCCTGCCGTCAGGATGCGTCAGTCGGCTAACTACACGATGCACGTACCTGTCCCCCGATTTCGACGTCAACCTTTGCCGTTCGCTTCATTGCCAGTGCCGATGCGGTGTGGTAGCGGCAAAGCTCCTTGACAAAGGCGCCTGCCCGGGACGGATCTGATTTCAGTTGATCTAACTGATCCGGGTGCTGGAATAGCGTCACGATGCCCTGTGGCTGCTGGTTAGCCAGGGACACCGGGGCTTTCTGTTGGATACTTGTATTTCGCTTACCAGGTTGATCATGTTGACTAGCGTTGCGTTGCCCGCGACAAGCAGGAGGAAGGCAATCTGGACTGCGTCGGACTTTTCTATAATCCCTTTGCTTACCTGGTTGACAACCAGTTCGCTGATGAGATCATTCTTCGGCTCAGCGAGGCGCTTGTCGACAAGGGTGCCAATGTAATTCAGCAGTTCCCTGCATGTCACACCGTCAGTTCTGCACCATTTTTGCACGTAGATGGATAGCTTACTGGCTCACCGTTGAAGCCTCTCTGGCTGTTCCGCTGCCATTTGATCGGGTGGCAACTTGCTGTGTGAGATATTCCAGGTCGCTGAATGGCACGCCGAGGATGGTGTAAATGATCTTTGCAAGGGACCGTCAGTATACTTCTTTGCTGATACCAGGGCTGTAGGTTCTTACATAGGAGGGGACCGGCAGTGCAAATTCCTTGACCAAGTCGACGGGTGCGGCGGCGCAACCCTTCGCCTTCATAGCGGCCAGGAGGTCGTCGACTGTTTTCTGGATAAAGGGCTGCAAGCTTTTCACATGCTCGTCGGTGAAAAACTTGCTCACCATGCTCCTTTCGAAGAGGTCAGCCGGTGGATGGCGATGCGTACATGCATACACACAACTTGCCTTTGGTGCATGTGGTCGGGCGGATCCATGTCGACAAAGGTTGGCTTGGCCTTGGCAGCAGCCTTGCCTCCGGCACTCAACTCTGGGAAGCCAGGCCTGTCACGTACCTGGTGTCATGTGTCATGGTCAGATTTGCTGCCCTGAGGCCGTATAAGTGAGGAGGAGCCTTACCTTGGACAGCCTGTTGTCAGTTGCGACTTGTGTGACATCTTTGTATTTGGTGACAAGCCAGGCCAAGCTGCCGTCGAACAACGTAACCCGTGAGACAGGCTCTGTGGCTCGCAGACGAGCGTACTCTGCAGGCGGTTCCATGCCCGAGGCACGCTGGAACGGGAATCTGGGGGGTTCCACAGACATCGTGGTGGTCATTGCTGTGAAGTTTTAAATCGATGGGGGGTTTGGATCGAGGTAGAGTTCCAATAGTGCGGGAGAAGAAAGGGAATGGCATTCTCTAAACGACTCAGCTGCCATTTATATATGTTTTCAAGCCTGGGCTTGTAGCATCGGAGATGTCCCAAGTGCTCCTCCACAATATGTCCCGTGATTGAAACTGGAATAAACAACTCCATGGCTGTCTTGCAAGTTTATGCGCTCTGTGATTACCAATGTGCGGTACGTTTCTCCGGGAGCATTTTTGGGCCATGTGAGCAGGGGCTTGGCCGGAAAGAATTGGGAATATGACGCAGCTGATACGTCGGCTGGCCAAGGATTTGTCCTTGCAAGCAGACTGACGAGTCGGAATACTCGCAATGGTCATTTCTGGGCCAAGTTTGTGGGCGTAAAAATAGCATCCCATGCAACGATGGCATGTTGTTCCAGGGGTCCATGTCATGCGGGTGCCACGTCGGTTATCGGGATTGATCGTCGAGCCATGGGTAACGGGCGGCTCCAGGCCGAATGCCGCCGATGCCTAGCTTATAAGTGTGATGGAGCGAATTCGGCTTCCTGCTCTCACAAATACATGTAGGCAAGAAGATGTAGCGGACGGGCGACGATGAAGTCGAAATAGTATTAGTTCCCGATCCCGCATGAACAGGGCACAGCTAGACTCGTCCAATCAGCTGCGTTTAAAGTCGCTTACAGGCCAATGACGTGGGGACAGGGCTGTTCCACAACCAGTCTGGTGACGCCGCAACTTTAAGTTGCCCCTGTTAAGTATTTTGATCAACCTCGAGTCCCTCAACGTCATGGTCCACGCGCCGCGATGCATGAAGCAAGGCAAATACAAATCGCCTCGGACTGTAGAACCCGACATATGCCGGTGCTCCGTACATTGCTGCCATAGCGTGATTTGCCAACGCACGGCCGAGAGCTAGACGACTACCGGTTAGGCCCCATTGTGAGGCAATAAAAATCGCATAAGAATGGCGACTTTCTCCGCGGAGATGGTGTTGCCAGCGCGGACGGTCAGGCAGCGATGCGTTTTGAAGAAATGTCAAGGGTAGTTGTCACAATGAAAAAAACTTGCTAACAATATGTCAGCATTGGGTCTACAATACGAGAGTAAACAAGAACCCGCCTGGCAGGTTGCTGCGACCTGATCAGCCTCTGAGCTTCTATTGCCAGCATAACCCGAAACGCACGACTGTTACATTTTCCCAATGGCACCGTACAGCAGAAGGAGTATAAGCCGTCTTGGATCATGTCAATAGATCCCCCAAACGTACCACCTCGAACTAGTTACGCTCATCTTAGGTGCCGCAGAGCCGTAACGATCTGACTCTTGATGGCGTTCTTAAAGTCAACCTCGCTCCCGCTGCTGTTCTCCATCAATATCTCATTAGATATTAGCAGCCACGGCGCAACGTATTCGTACCCTCCCCGACTGGAAGACATGAGCTCGAGGTACTTTTCAGCACCAGCGGGTGTGTGAAGGGTATTCCAGTCCCTCTCGTCGAGTTGCAGGTAGTCCCGGGCAAAAACCAGCATCGCCGCCAGCATGCCGGCCGCGATGCAAACCGCAAAGGAAGTGCCGCTCTTGTACGACGGCCCGTCCGTCCGGTCGTCTCTCCAGACCATGACGTTCTCCCCAAACGTGCTGAAGTTTTTGCGCCCCCTCATCGGAGAGGCGTTGTAAGGAGACGGGTTCCCGTAGCTGTCTGTGGAGAATATCGGAATGACGCCGTGCATTCTGGCAGGGAAAGCTGCACGAGTGTTTGCACCGTCATTCCCCGTTGCAGCCAGGCAGATGATGTTTTGCCTGATGGCTTGGGATATCGCATTTGCAACACCGTCGTGGTGAATATGAAGTCCCAACGGTAGGACGATCATGTCGACCTTCCACTCTTTGACGGAATATTCGATGCTCTGTCTCGGTTTAGCATGCAGCCGAAATTTTATGGCTGGAGATGCTCACTTGGGCAATGGTGTCGGCGTTGGAAATTCTCTGTCGGTCAGTTATTTTGGCAATGAAGAATTCGGCAAATGGCGCCGTTTCTAATAACATCGTCAAGCAAGACGCCCCATGTCCGGCGTGCTCCTGGTCCCAGCTCCCATTCTCACCCGTAGAGGTAAAGTTTCGTCCACGGATAACTTGATGGCAATCGTGGGAGAGAATGAGAGCGCAGTCCACCCCGGTACCGAGGAGCGCGATCTTGTAAGGGCTTGTACGGTTCTCTTCTTCACGAGCCATTCCCCATTGGCCCAAGAAGATTGCGTATCTGTGAAACCATGCCCGGTGATCACTGTTGAGGTCTGTCAGTGCCAGTCGCCTCATTTCTCCGGAATCACGTACCGTTCCTGCTCGTCCTGCTCAATTGCCATTTTGCGCCTCCAAGGCCTTCGCGTCGCGGGCTCTCTATAGAAGGTCAAAGGTTCAATCTGCACCGGACCGAGTGCTTGAATCGCCGGTTGTCTCTTGGTTAGAGGAGCGGTGTCGGTGGTTGTGTTGGTCCAAGCATCAACGTATACAGACCGGACGCTTTGGTTTTGAATGCTGACCGCTGACTCTCGTCTAATGACCAAGTCCCATTCCGTGTTGGTCGCAACGTCGGAATATGATTTAGATCGGTGGGTTGCTGATAGATGAGCCGCCTCGCCAGACTCTTGGCCGTCTTGTTTCCCCGGCTCCGATTCACGACCTGTGGCACCGTTTATCTCTGCATCATTCTCTTCGTCCTCACTATCCGGTGTGATGCGCCGACAAATGTGAAGATTCCGAAATTGCTCACGGCGTGATAGGAGCACTATGCGGAGCGGCGTAACACCTTTCTCGTCCTCGTCGTCTCCCAGGTACACCTGGCCTTTGAGCTTCTGATAATGAACCAAGCGGTTATAAAGGTAGGAAGTATCGAATCCTGATGTAAAAAGCTCCTTTGACTGTAACAGGTCAGTCAGTTTGCTTGTCAATGAATGATTGCCTCTCAAAGGTGCTTTCCCCTCAATGCTGCACGCTGTGAGCAGTTCGACAACGTTGTCCTGACCACAGTAAATGGATTCTATAGCAGATGCGGAGTGGCAGCAGTCCAAGATAATCAGGGTATCTGCTTTGGAACCTTTGAGGAATGACTTCTGACGAGTGTTCCACTCGACGTAAGGATGCTGGATTCCGTCAAAGCTTCGGTCCAGTAAGCGTTGATGCATTCGATTCATGATGCAGAGAAATCTCGGGCTTACTTACCACTTGATAATCAACTGGCCGTCCAACCTCAATACATCCCCGTGACCACCGTAGTATACCAGCAACAGGTTCTGCTCTTTATCGTGCGCTTCTCTAAAGTTGCGGATCTTGTCCTCGAGATACTTTTCAGGATCGGTGCTTGGGATATCGATAGCCTTGGCTCCAAAATTGTAAGGCGATCTCAACACGCGCTGAAGCTCTGTCCTCTGATCTTGGAAAGTCTTTATTGCATCCTTCCAGCATATTAAGAGTGCCTGCACATCTTCATATCTGCGCATTGCGCTCAGACAGCCATCATTAGTGGCGAGCCGAGGACGAAAGCTGGAGAAGCTCTGTCACAAGGAATTTTCCGTTGCAGAAATTGAGCGGGCATACTTCTGACGTGTCTTGCTTTTATTGGACCGGAAGTCGCGATATGCAGATACGACGTTGTCATGCATGTCAGCCCATCTCTTCCCGCGTGCATTGATCGCCCCTCGACTTGTTCTCCTCGAACACATTCAATACAAAAGTTGAGTCACCAACAGATTTCTTCAAGGGAAAAATGACCGGAAATGACGATGGCCTCCCCCAGCAGTATAATGCTTTGATGAGCCACCACAAGCTAGGATATGCCTTTTACGAACCAGAGTCATCACTGGTGGTGAAGCCGGGATCGTGTGGATATATCGACGGATCTGGCTCGTGGCATCCAATTTTGAATGTAGCCAGCGATGCCGAAGCCGGGAAAGCAGGGCTTGGAATGATTGACAAGGCAGGAGTCATCAAGCTGGCTCCGTCCACTCGTCTTTGGGGGCCCAAGCTGACAGAGACAGTTTCATCACGGAGCTTGAGCATGAGTGCCGACGTCCCCATTCCGGCTGGAATTCCGGCCACGGCAAACGCGCTGGTCGAGTTCGAGCTTCATTCTGACTTTGGAGCTGTTCTTCTCTGCAAGGGCGATGTCACCAAGCGCGGATACGCCCACGACGATCCCTTCAGGAAATGGGCAAGAGCCAACATGTCGCAGCTGCTACAAAAATATCCGACAATCCGCACATCGGGCTTCTATGTAGTGACCAACACGTTTACATCCAAGGATATCTTGGTCAATGGTTGGAGGACAAAATCGAACAAGGTACATCTGGGTTTCGGTGGCGGTGTTGAATCCATTGCCAACATCTCGGCAAACACGGAAATCTACGGTGCAACCGCAGCAAGTGGCTGGATTCAACCGGTCTGTAAAGGTACTCATACCCAGAAATATGTTCCCTCCCTCAATGACTGCCACTGACGGATAATGGCAAGCCAATGAGGAGAAAGTCGTCTTTTTCGGTGGTCTCAAGTACGAATTTCATACTCTGACCCACTGGATGAGAGACGTAAGTAGTCTCCTTTCTTAGCGTTCTTGGTACCTGAGGGAATACGGTTGCTGATTCCTTATTGTAGTCCAATGGCAAGTTCAAGGAAAAAGTACAGGAGAAGTGGCGCGGAGATAATCTCATCATCCAGGATCCCGACGTTGAGGCCGATGCTTTGGAGGTCAAGGAAGCTAGATTCGGCGCCGCGTCCAATTGACCGTTGCCACGTCCTTTTTATCTATCGCCGTGGCAGATAAGGCCTATGCCTGGTTGTAAGCAAATACATAGCTGGTGAAAGGAGGATACTAGCTGTGCGCGTAGCTGTAGGAAGTTGGTTTAGGGCTATACCACAAGCTTAGCGTGCTTTCCCTCATCTAAATCTTATCAAAACCATTGTGTACTTCATTTTATTGATACGTATAAGGCTGGGTTACTGGGGAAAATATTATTAGAATTGCAGAATGCAGGTTTTGAACCATGTACAAGGGATAATGTCACGAACGAGATGCTATAATTGCTGGACAAATATTTAACCCCTCTGCATTCCATGAGCAAGAACGGGCCTTTATACATGACGCATGACGTGCATGGGACACTCGGGCCGCGATGTGGTCTGTACAGATTCGGCGGCAGCTTGCAGCCTTGGCAAGTCGAGGAGTCAAAATTATCCTGCTTACTGATCAGGTTTCATCCCAGAGCATGTGAAAAGAGTGTGTAGGTCTCATACAAAGGCTTGGAAATAAGTGTTTGATTCAATCTACCAGCTTGCTTTGATGTCAAAGGCGCTTGATTTTCTCAAGGTCTTCGGAGCCCGAAGACAGAAGGGTCCTAATCATTCAAAGCGGCAGCGAGCTTCGGCGCCCAAGGCCGTAGACGCTGAAGGTTTCTAACTAGGTCTTTGAGCCTTTGCGTAACTATCGTCGGTTCGAGGGTCGGTCCGCGTCGTACTGTTGTGATACCCCCTGTTACACGCTGGCATTAACCGTTCGTGCTGTGAAGCATGACATTATGCAGAAACACGACATTCCGTCGCTGAGAACGTCCAAGCTTAGTTTATGCAAGCATTTAGCGTCGAAATACCTCCCGCTAAATTAGGACAATGTACAATAACCCCTGCGTCACCATTGAAAAATCACTACGTACTCCCCTGTAAATCACAATTAATAGCCACATGCACCAATATGAATTAAGAGTCAATGCGCTTATTAGTGGAGAGGCCCCTGGATATAATCCCCACAGACTTCCTTGTCAGGTCACTCTTGGCTAAACTTCCATAAAGGGGTTGAATTGTAGTGTGGCTAGTTGGGAACAATCACGATGAGCGACAAAGTGTCCAGGAGGTAGCGACAGATGAGAGTGGACATTTCCAGTTCCCTAGTCCATAGTCAGAAAATTCCAGACAACAGAAATAATGTGACAAGGGTTCAACATGGAAGGCTTGGAGCAATAGCTCAATTGAACTAATAACAGTCTTTGGTATCAAAGGTCCTTGGTTTTCCTCAAGGCCTTGAAGGTCAAAGACGTCTTTAAATACAAGAAGTCGGTGAGGGACTTTGCCCTAGGACTCGTGGCCGTAGCCTTTGTGTAACCAGCCATTTCCGTGTAACAAATAACATATGCGGCAACTGATTCTAGTTATTCGGCGTCCGTGACAAGGGTTTGGAAAGGATTCAATTCAACGATAATCCAGTAGGGTGTCAAAGGTCCTTGGTTTTCCAAGAGGAAGGAAGGGAACAATAACCACTATACATACATAAAGGGAACGGCTGTGCCTAGAGCTCTTACCCGGGCACGCGTTCAATCCGTGTAACCAGCAGGTCCTTTGTCCGTGAGGCCCCTTTGTTGTGCATTACGATCTTGTCGGCCCTTTACCGTGAAACAGCGTCTGCGGAAGACAAGACACCAGGTCCCAACACTGCCGAAGAAATAAATGATGGAGCTGCCCCTACGGACTCGACCCCAAAACTTCCATCAGCTAATGGAATCTTTGATTGCCGACAAGCATGGTACCGTGCTGTATCTTGGACAAGATGGCTATCCCTGCGTCGTCACTGATGCCTTTCATCCACATCATCATCTTGCGTGCGACTGGACGACATCTGGCGCGCTATTGTAAGCCAGCCGTGCTGGAAGGCCCATGCACATTCGAGAGTCATAGATGTTACATTCATGAGCTGGAATCCGACAGGAAAACCAGGGACATTCTGCCTGCCAATTTGACGAGATGGAGGCTCCTGCGGCGACCAAGTTAGCGCTTGAAGGGCTGGGCAAGGCCATCTCTTTTGAAGATTTTTAACTTATTCCTCGCCTAGCTTCTCGACAACCACAGAAAAGGATAATACTGTGGCTAGGTGTATCTTCATAGGGAGTTACACGTTCATAGGAGAGGATAATGGCCCTGAGGAACTGATTGATCGCAGCATTAATCTGTTACGATTCTTGGCGAGAAGGATGACGGCCGGAAATTTCAGTCTCGCCTTGCTTTGGGGAAGGGGGAGCCTTTCAAATTCGAACACAGAATATGCGTGGTGTTCCTCGATTGCTCCATCAAGGCTTCGATAACCACTGCTTGGCAGAAGTCGTCGATTTTTGGCATAACATTTCCACTCAAAGTTTACCAGGGAAAGGGCTTTTCGGATATATCGTGCTAGGCTGGAGTCACTCTGCAGCTGGGCGCCGAAGGGCTGGTCTATTTCCTAGAATCAGTTAGATGTCAAGATTGAGGGGTATAGAGAGTCAACAGCACTCGAGATGACCAAGCTGGATTTTATCCTGTGCCGTCCATCATTGAGGCCTATGCCGCGAGGCAGCTCAGCGGCCTAGGTCGTTGACTCGTCGGGCTATGTGGCCACTCTACCGCTTCGCCTGACTTGCCACAGATGCTTCCGGGGATAACATGTCAGAGGCTAAATAGAGAGAGAGAGAGAGAGACAAGATGTGCATAATGAATTATAGGCTTGACATCGGACATACTCGGCTATGAGCCCCTTTTGCTGGACCCCTTTGCTTCATGACTCAGTGATAACCACTCTGACACAAGACCTGACAGGTTTGAGGGAAAGCCCGCAGATGCGCTCCCGCCCGTCTCTGCATGTCATGTACGAAGCGAAGGCGGAATTTCGGCGAGGAATTTCCAGAAAAAAATGTGGTTTGGAGGGAAAAATGAAACGCCGTGGGTCGTGGCTATTAGAGGACAGCGGGATTTTCGTTACAGCTGCTTCGAAGCAGGGACGAGGCCATGCATTGAAACAACTCCAAGGATGGGGCTTCGATTCGGCATAATAGGCTGAATAGTGATTTTTAATGCCGAATTATGACAGACAGGACAAGAACACTGTTCGGGTGCGATACTGTACAGCATTTTCAGTGGACACGGATGACTGAAGCGCGGCAATGTAGCACATCGCTCGATATCGAGATAAAGTCTGGTCGGCGCTTCCTGATGGGCAATGTTGCTCCGAGTCGAACATCAGGCGATACTCCTAGCCCCAAGCACAATGAAATATTTCAGGGCACTAGAATGAAACACGGGTGGATTGCTTTGTAATAGGCTCGCTTCTTTGCACGATTGCGTGCTGTGGTGACGAGGGCTGTGAATATAGAACTATCAACTACTATGTGGGAGCTTGCCTGGCAGATAATCCTCTCATGACATGCATGTGCTCTGCCATGTAAGTGGATAGAAGCTTACGACGAAAGGGCGCACGAAGGCGTCTGCAATTTCACGGCTACCAAGAGCGCCAGCAGCAGCTGGGGGCACAGAAACCAAGGAGACGATGGCTGGAGACAAATGCAGTGGGGACATGAAGTACTTTACCATTCAGGCCAAAGGTGTAGCCAGGTACAATGACATGACAAGGGGTTACAGCCCATGAGAGGTCTCGTGATTGTAGAGACATGCGTGCTGGAGAGAAGGTACTTGACCGGACCTGAAAACCTCATAAAAATAAATGATATCTTATGAATACAAGTCACGAACTACTCCCTTGCTGGTGAGTTTATACAATCATCATCCATAACCACTACTATAAATAAAAGGAGATCATTTTTATTTGCGTAAAAGTTCCCGTATGTAACCCTCCCTGGGTTGGATTGTATTGACATGTACGGCGTGACATGTCTGGTAGAGTACCACAGGGATTCGCATCCCCCGCAAAAGCCCAAGTGCACCATTGATGCAACGCCCGCAGAGAGTGAACTGGTTGACAATACGACCGATACGCACCAGACCGACCCCTGGCAGAAGCTTCCTTGTCAGGCCATACGGGCGGCAGCCATGGATGGACCTCGAATGTAGGCAAAAGGTTCCATGTCAATGTTGAGTCTTGACTGCGCAGTGTCGATTCGAGCAAGTGTCAATGCAAAGCAGTCTTTGATACCTGCACGCATGCGGGCTCTTTGTTCAAACCGGACCAGACCAGACCAGATACTTACTCGTCGCCGCCTGCCGTGTGTTGCAGAAAAGTAGCCAAGTTCGGAAAGGGGGAAATGAGATCGGAAATATGACGGCAGTGGCGCCAAAGCCGACATATCCCAGAGCCATGTTGTGGCACAACGATTCATGTGGCGAAATGTGGACAAGGTGGAGCCACTGCGCAGAGCCAAGTCGCGATTCATTCGGCTCCTCGCTATCCCTGCCCATTCCGCCTCGAGACCAAGATGGCCCAGATCAGATAAGCTTGGCGGCGACCGCAAGGTATCAATTGATCCCACAAGAGCCGAGCTGGGCATCTGGAATCCACTGGGCGTTGCCCAAAGAGGTCTGCATGACGCGGCGGTGGAACCAGAGCGGAGGCGTTTGTCAAGGCTCCATCTGGCAATGGACTCCAAATGTACTATCAGGGCCCCCGTTAATAGTTCCCCGGGATTATTCATGAGCCGCGCGCATTGCTGTGGAGGCCGGGCCAAGATGCGACGCTCAGCCGGCGCGACCTGGCCAGCTGGTTGTGGTGAGTTGACTGAGGAATCATGGATGGCTTCAATGTTCCATCTTGGAGGAGCACTTGCCTTGGGGCTGCGACACTGGGCGGGCGGTGGCAGTGGGCAGTTGACATCAGTCACGACTCACATGATCGAGTCAGGCCGGACCTTTGAAGCTTCAATGCTCCATGTCCAGTTTTCAACTCTCCGATACGGGGCTGGCACAGGCCGCTGTGACGCTGTCTCGGGCCAACAGGAGACATGACAGGGCACTTGAGCTCACTTAGCATTCAATGTTTTCTTTCCTCCCTTCCAGAAACTGTGCTGATCCTCCAACATGTACAAACGTGGCACGGCCATCATTGACGGGACGATGCCGCCAAAACTGATTCGCCCGTCTTAGCCGCCTCCACAGGCACAGGCTCACAGCAAGAGAGTCGCCAATGTGAAACCAGGACAGCATCAAGACCCTGTTGGCTGAGTTATGCATGACGGCCATCCTCTAATGTCGCCGAGGCCCAAGTGGCGTCTAAAACTAAGACTATAGCGTCCCGGCAGCACATCATCGTGGCTGTTGAACCTGGTCGCGCGCGGTTCCACCAACTTGATGCTGACATATCTATGCACTCGAGGATGAGCTTATTTTTCTATAGGGCCAAAGACGGCAGTCTGCCGGGATTTACCATGCATCCCAGGAAGCCCAGGGAGTCGGGGACTCTCCGAGACTCCAAGAGACTCCAAGACGGAGCCAAGAGAGGCTGCGCACCCCGTCCGCGTAATAGATGCTGAAGCCGGCCACTCCGCCGGTAGCATATGCCGCGATTATGGTGGTTTGTTAATTCCTTCTCAAAGCGTTTTGGATGAGTCAATCCCATCCAGGACGTTGAATCGCCGAGTGTGAAATATATAAAGATGACCTGCGGCCCCCCATTCACCACCAGTCCCGAATCCTCACCACTCAACAGGACTACCAACTTCACACCTTCATTTTCCCACTGTTGTTAACCATATATTCACTCTTTACGTCCCGACTCCCAGCATGCGCCCCGTACTCGCTTCATCGTTCCTGCTGAGCTCGGCTCTCGCCGCATGCGTTGACGGCGCGGGCAAGGCCGGCGGCGCCGGCTCCGGTGCCGGCGCCCAGTCCGCCGTCGAATCCCGCACAATCGAGCAGATCTACGAGGCTGCCGTTGCCGAGGGTGGCGAGGTCGTCCTCTGGCACGGCGGCGACGAAAAAAACCAGATGGACTTTATCAAGGATGCCTTTGAGAAGCGATTCCCCAAGATGAATCTCACCGTCACCGTCGACCTCTCCAAGTACCACGACGGCAGAATTGACCAGCAAGTGGCCGCCAAGGCGCCTAGCCAGGTCGACAGCGTCTACCTGCAGACCGTCCACGATTTCCCTCGCTGGGCCAAGGAGGGTGTTCTGCTGGACTACGCGCCATTGGGATACGACCAAATCCTCCCAGGGTTCAAGGACAAGTCGACCGCCTCGTGGTACGCCCTCGAGGTGCTGTTCTGGCAGAACGCCTGGAACACCAAGAAGCTTCCCAATGCCAACTTCAACAACTTTGACGAGTTCCTCAAGCCCGAGTACAAGGACAAGTTGGTCCTGACGTATCCCAACGACGACGACGCAGTTCTCTTTGCCTTTGACCTGATGTAAGTCACTTTATTCCGGCCTACACCGGATCATGTCGGCTAACCATGTGTTTTTCGCCCTTTTAGCCTGCAGAAAAAGGGCAATGACTGGCTCGACAAGCTGCTTGCGCAGAATCCCACCTGGGTCCGCGGCACGGCCACGCCCTTCACCCTCATCGCCAAGGAGGACAGCCCCCTGGCGGCGACCTTCACCACGGCCGTCGGCTTCGCCAACGTGACCAACATCCGCACCGCGTTCCCCAACGACGCGAATTTCGTCTCCTGGGGCCAGAGGGGCGGCATCCTCAAGAACGCGCCGCACCCCGAGGGCGCCAAGCTGCTGGCCGCCTTCATGCTCACCCCCGAGTTCCAGAAGGAGTACGGCTGGAGCGTCCGCGGCGACGTCCCGGCCCCCGCTGGCTTCCCCAAGGTCACCGAGATGCAGAACACCGACGTCTTTGCCTTTAACAGCTGGATGGAGGACCGCGCCCGCGTCGAGCGCCTCCGCTTCTGGTACGAGGACCGCATCGGCACTGCCCAGGGCGTGAGCCCCCTGGTCGATAACGTCTAAGTGCAACGCAACGCGACGCGGCATTTTTTTTGTATTCTACATCTTGATTTGCATAGACTTTGCTGTTGTATTGAATTCGGGCAAGCGGTGTTTCTCCGGTTGAGCTAGCTGGCATTGTACCTACATAGGGCCTAGGTGGGTGTGGCGCCTGTAGGCAGGGGTTGAAATTCATATACTGCGATTATAAGCCATGATGTTCTTTATTGCCATGTGAGATGTACACGTGTGACTGTGGTAAAAATGCTGCGAACAGCTTTCACGGCTGCCGTGGGAGTTGGCAAAGTGCCCGGATGAACATGAACATCAACGATGATGGCCAGCTAGCTAATACACTCGCTGAAGCTTTGTGCCATACATGTCAATAGTGAAATTTGGGGCTACAGGCTAGTGAGAGCGCTGTGGCTTGTGAGCAGTTCTGCCGTGGCGATGCTATTTTTGATGACCTGCCAACCTGCGGCCACTCATTGACGGGATACTGTGGACTCTGGAGGCACTCGGGTCTGGTGCATTGAGAATGACTCGTGAGGATTTTGTTAGCGTATAAGTGATGTGCTAATGTTTACTATTCCAGAAGGGTGTGAGTGGCGGTGCCTGGGCGCAATGCATGATTTAAGATTCAATGTTTAATTGATATTGACTAGTTGACCATCATGCCGTGGCGTCTGTGCACACATGGTCGCAGAAAAACCTACAACATTGAATTCATCCCATCTCGAGTGGCGCGTCAAAAAGCTCATCGCAGTCATATTTCTCAACATTGAAATGACGCCTTGATTCAGAGCAGCCAAAGTCGTGCGCAGTGTCAACTGTTGTGAAACAATGGATTTTGTCGTGAAAAAAAGGGGCATTTTTCACGATGATAAAAGACCCCTGGGCACACTTCTGGACCATGTGTTCTTTGCATGAAATTATCTGACGTGATATCGCTGCTGGTGTCGCCGAGAACAATAGCTTGACTAGTAATCTAGGCCCCTTGGAACTTTTTACGCGCCATCGTACGAGGGCAGAGTCATTACACGTTTCACCGAGCCTGGGCATGTAAATAAAAGGCCTACTGAACTGCTTCTCTGGATATATTGCCACGACGGTTGCCGCGCTTAAACGGCCAGGCGGCTAGGGCCACAACACCGAGGGCACAAGGCTCTCGCCACGTTGGCATGGACAGTCCAACCGGCCTCGATTGAATTATTCTTCATGCGTGGCCTGGCAGGGGGGCTAGTAACCAATCGAAAAAGGCTTCATATGGAACCTCTAAGTACCTGTAATTACGTAACATTTCTTAATAAGTTAAGGTTTCTTTATAATTCCTATAATTCCTCCTAATGCCCGATTTCCTAAAACATATAAGTTATAGTTAATGCACTGCCCCCTACTAACAGCTACCCTGTCAGGTCACGCATGAAGAATAATTCAGGGGGAAGACTGTATGTAGAGTTCTTTGGTCCATCTAGCCCTTGAGAAGACCATTTCCGGTCCGGAACACGGAGCCGTAGAACAGACGGCATTCAGTCATTACTCGTGGGCGGCCAAAGAGCAGTTTGGTTATTGTTGTATCCCCTTGTGCGACAGCGTGTAAGTATTTATTAAGCTTGTTAAATTCACAAGGCAACTAGTCAGCATGTAGAAATTGGAAAAAACAGGCCTGCCTCTTTTTGATGTACGAAATACTGCTGGACCTCTGATAATTCAAGCGGGAGTTGCCAAAACTCGATGGTTCGAACTTGTTGTGGTTACTCATACACTCACTTGCAACTATGGCAGAAGGTCCTCGTAGCGGAGGCCTCTTTAGCTCCTTGGAATAGGGCGGGTGGTCAAGAATTCAAGGAAAGAACTCACCCGACAGAACCTTTCGCTCTCTGTCTCTCTGGAGAATATTTGTGCCAATCTCCCCGGATATAATCTTGTGTTTCAACATCAGTCTTTGTACACAAAGTGACCAAGTGTACCTATTACCGTGAGCACTTTGACGCCGAGATTATCAAGCATGGGTAAAATTAATATAAACATGGTTTTAGCATAGTCGCAGCTTGAACAACTCACTCCAAGGGAGCCATTTCGACTCGCAGAGTGTTGGACCAATGCTGCAGGGCAGCTTTGGTGGCGTTGCGAGCCAACAAGCATATAACATATCCATTACACTAATAGTTTAGCCTGAACGAGAGACTCTTGATTTCCTATCTAAAAGAGCGGAATTATACTAAATTAAATACTTTATTAAAATACTGCTAGGTAAGCAGCAGTATTGCGATTTCCTGTTACCACTTGCCACTTGCTAGTGGTAAGTGGCCACCTAGGCAGTAATGCTTGCGTATTCTTGACAGAGGCAGCATTATGCTTGAATAAATGAGCGACCTGAGTTTGACAACATTGAATGCATGTGATCTTGTGAAGGCTTAATAGCCTCCACAATCCCCACCGCCCTCCAGGCAGCAAGCCCGGCTGAAGCAGTTGACGGGACAAGATTCCGTAGCATCACACTGGATCTGGAGGCCGTCACAGGTCCAGGCCCCCTTGTATCTGCACTTGCATTTCCATCCCGCCGGGGGAGCCTTGCTGATGGTGCAGCCACCGGGGTGATAATCGCAGTCACAGGCTAAAACAAATAAAGACCCAAAAATTAGTTTTGAGAAGTTGGCATGGTTTTGGTGGAACAGGGCAAGGTTTTGGGAGTTGTGGGGGAATTGTACCTACCCAAAACACCAGCCGTAAGTGCTTGAATGAGGAAGATGATAGCGTAGCCCTTCATGTTGGAGTCGGGATTGATTGCAAATTTCTGAAAACTGGGAAGGGAGTTTTGGCTAGGCGTGAAACGTGGATGTATAGTTTGGTTAAAGACGAGCAATAAAGCGTTTGTTGTGGTATTGCTGAGAGGAGAATCAGAGCGAATTCGACCTGTTTATATACTCTGGCCATGAGCATCAGTCAACTTGTGTTTGCCATTCCTATGCTACGTGGCTGTGGCTTCCCCAGACATGGCTGAGCATATCCAAAACCGGCGTTGCGTCTGCACAGAGAAATTAATTTTCCACAAAATGCCATGAATCATCGTTTCTCTTTGTCACATGAATTTGTGCCAATAAATAAATACGTAGTTAACCTTGACCTAATAATGGGAGTAACTTACTTTAAGCTAATAAAAAGTAAATATTATTTAGGGTTAGTTATAGCTTTTTCGCAGGAATGTCTAGGAAAGAAAAGCTACTTTAGTATAGCTTGAAGGCGGTACTGTAATAGTGTTACTGTCACTTAAAATTTCCTACAAAATCGTCTACTAAGGTATCTGTTGGTCTCATAAGGGAAATACGTTACAAGCAACGGGGTACAATTTATATGTTATCAAAGGTCTAAGGAAAAGGAAGCTATTAGCTACGAACAGCCCGGCATCGTGGCCTTTATAGTTGGAGTTGTTGCCCTGGGTGACCCCTATTACAGGCCGCCTACACCCACGGCTAGTGGTGCCGGAACGGAACAACATTGATCCAACTAATCAGGGTGGTTGTAGGCCGGAGCAGATTGGTCCGACCGAACAACGCCACATCGTCGGCCAATAATTATCACAACAGTATCCCATTCCTGTGTAAAGTCTAAATGGCCCTCTTCTCTCCACGTTTAAGTTTGTTATTATGTAATAGTGCTAGTACTTAAATATACCTACTTAATCTAAGTTTATGGGAAAGTCAAACCCGGGAGTTTAAGTTGCCCGCATAGTTGCCTAACTAATTAACTTTATCAAGAATTATACTTTTTGACAAAGCATAACGGCTTAATATTCACATGGGCAAGTATAGTTACATGCCAAACTCTAACATTTTATGTCAGCCCATGCTATTTGTTGCTAATAAATGACTCAAATTATATACAGTTTCTAGAGACTGTGGTGATATCTGAAATCACAGCCTGCGCTGGTGGCTTCCAGGCCCTCTGAAGATTCGTGGGTGAGAGACCATGTCCAATTCGTGTCTCGGCAACATGGAAGGATACCACAAATAAGGGCGTCGCGTTTGATAATCGCCATGTGCAGGGCAGTGCTGCCTGCCGCATTTTGGGCATTTGCATCCGCCCCGTGATTGAGTAAGAGACTGGTTGTTAGTTTTGATCTCTGCTCGGCAGCATAGTGTAGCGGCGTTTTCGAGTACTGATCTTGCAAGGCAATGATCGCAGAAGATTTGTTCAAGATGGCAGCTGCAGCCGGCGTCGACGACATTTCGGCCCAAGTGTGCAGCGCTGACGTTTGTGTTACATCTTGTACATGGACATCAACCTCCGGCTGGTCAATGAATACCATGGCAGTAATCATAGATTGCCGCTGCAAAGCTGTTTGCCCTGTGTGGTCTTTCAGGTTATTATCTTGGAAACGGTTGTGGTGACACTCGACTGCCAACACATATCGTAGTTCGTCCAGTGATAGACGCCAAGCACAACCAATGCAAGCGAGTATTCCAAGTACCTGTTCATACTTGGCTCGTAGCCGGATCCTCTCTAATATAGCATCGAATGAATTTTCTAATGTACTCGGTAGGTTTTGTAACGCCTGTCGCCGTGGATGTATTGTAGCTACTATGGCTAAGGACCAAGGTTGTATAGAGAGAGGCGAGGAGAAACCTAAGAGGCGTGAGTTGATACACTATGACTCACATTCCATTTGCTAATTTGGATACTTTAGTTCGTATTTGACGGGCAAGGTGGTTTGGCATTGTGTCTGGTTGTCGAACCCTGTCCTCCTCAATACGTGTTACACGGAAAAGGCCCAACAGATCGTGAAGCCCAGTAAAGGGGCTTCACTAATACGGGACTTATTAGTTACACAGCTTAAATACGTGCCTAGGTAAGAGCCTTAGGCCTAGGTATTCCTTTTATATATATAAAGCAGTTACTCTTCTCTTCCTCTCTCCTAATAACTGAAGACCTTAGAGACCCTTCGAGATTATTATTAAATTGAGCCTATTTCCTTTAAGCCTTCTATATTGAACCCTTGTCATAATACGCGCCGAGATAACGCCGACTATGTCATCATTCTGAATTTCCATGAATTGATATATCCAGGAGGGAAATCGCCTTCGTATCATCTGGGTGGTGCACTGCCGTCCAATACAAAGGAGCTCTGCGTTCAAACGCAACTTTTCGCAAGCGGTCACCAGGTTCTCGGCGTCATTGCACTCATCCAGCGCATCGATACATACAAACAGCTTCTCCACGTCCACGTTCAGAAAGCCGAGAATCTTGTAAATCTCATCCAGTCTCGCACTAGGCCCCCGCAGCTGTCACGTCGACACAGGCTGGCTCTGGAGGGCTACAGACAATAACGCGACTGCTTTCACAAGGGTGGATCAACAGCTTTCATCTTGGTATCAATCTTGTGTAATTGCAGGGGCTCTACTGATACTTACTAAGCCTTTGGAAACTAGACTCAGGCTCTCTGATGTATTCTCCATGATTTCAGAAACATAGTCCCTCAAGCGATCAATAAACCTCAAGCCATGGTGGTGAGACGATTTCCGTAGTACCTACACCAGGCTAACATTTTTGCGCGAGTTCGATGGCTCGTCGTACCCAAAACAATCCAAATGGGCACAATAAAGCCAAGGTGCTTCACCCGGTCTCCCGAGGCGTCAGCGTGCGTGACAATTAGGCCTTGACAGCAGCCTTCTATATCGCAGTCTCCAGTTGAGCACTCTTCGATTTGCGTCTTTGCCGGAATCAGAGCAAGCAGCTGTACATCACGCAAGCTTTCTGCAGATGTTGGGAAGCGCCTGTAGATTGTGTCGAAGGCGCCGTAGAAGCCATCTTCATTCCCGTAGTCGGTTCGCGCACACATGCCTGGTACGGCCCCTCGTTCCTCGAACAGCCTCAGGGGTACTAACGGAACCTCAAGCTCTATCGACGCTGCGGTCACGCCGTCGAATGGCTTGGCATCATCCAGCAAGCTGACCTGAGTGTTAAAGCGGTGGTTGTAAAGTGGATTGATTTAGCTTTGAATCCCACACCAAGTATGCAGTCGAACCACGCCCAGGACCACGACGGGGCAGTGCTCTCAGTGCCAGTTAGCATTTCAGGGAATGCCAGCACAACGACTCTATAAAAGACTTCCTCCTGTATCCCGCAACTTGTCATCCAGCATGCGTTGAAAGGCACTTGCCACGTTGGAGAGAGCTGTGAGCTTATCCGAAGGGGTGGTTGCCTCCGTTAACCAGATAGTTAGATAGGCATTTGCGTTGACGGAACCTGCTTGCTCAAAATCCGTTGTCCACTCTCGCGGATTGCTAGGGATGTATAGCGATCTGATCCAGATTTACGGAACATCCAAGGTGCGAGTCACAAGTACGGCGTCTTGAAACATCTTGGAAATGTCGGCAATGCGTATGTTGCTGTCCTCGGGCAGGGTATAAGACTCCCATTAGCCCACGATACTGGATTCAGATGTATAAGTCAGGGCTGTGTACTTTTGCCGGGCCCTTGCGTCCAATTCGACTAGTTTTACAGTACACCTAGACCTGGGGCTCTAATTATTCAGCATGGAACTGGTGCCATGGTAACATTCAAGATGTTGTTCGCCCTCGGCGTCCCATATAACCAGGCGTTCGAGGGTATGCATGTCGGGATGCTGTTTTACAGGACGCCCGCGAAACAACAGCCAGAGTATAATCTTTTAAGCATTAGCGTCCAGGTTAGAGTGTAAGTAGAGGCAAAGATCAGGACATACCTTCTGTCGCAGTGAAGCCAAACACAGCAACGGGGACAGTCAATGTTCCCCTGGCTCTGGGGCTGCATTCTGACAAGACCCAGAAGCCTTGGCCGCCATCAGGACGTTTCGTTAAACACATATAAAAGGTGGGCGGGCCGTCGGAATCGTCTTTCATTTCATCCGGCCTTCATGGTCCTCGAGCTCGGCCAACATGCCATCTGCTTCGCCTTGAATCAAAAGACAGAGCTCACACCCTTCTGCAGCTTCCCCTCGCAGACTTTGGGTGTTGGCATGATATCCAACCCTTGGTGCAGTAGCGCCACGGGAATTGAATTTGTTTGGCACTAGAGTCTGCACATGCTCTAGCCCGGTCGATGTTCTGACGTATTCTTCCTTCGGGAACGGTGGGAGATGCTTGAACGGGATCGATTTGCAGTTGTCGCAAAGAGGAATTACGACAGCAGAATGTACAACAAACTCTACGCCGTTCTTGCTGGTGCGGAGAGACAATTTGTCGAGGTAGCCAGGAAAGAGGTCGAGATGAGGTCTTGTTGGCCCTGACCACATGGGAGATGCATGGCTATCCCAGGCACCAGCCTAGGTCTGGCGTATAGTAACCGCAAGAGTCACCTCGTTATTTTGTTCATGTCATGGGGGAAAATGCCGGGCTGTATGGATGATGCAATAGTTAGAGTTATTGAAACTCAAATAACTAAAACCCTGGAAACAGACAACTCTTGGCTGGTAAATTCAGAAGATTTCACTCAGGGTCGCATCGAACAAAGGCAAACGGCACGAAGATTCGCGCTGGCTGCAGACATTGGTCTGTGCAGCACGGGGACTGTAGAAGTGATTCGAGTGACGCAAGTGATGTGACTGCTGGAATACGGCGGGCTTGTTGCGTCAACATCGAAAGTACCAGGGTGGAATAGCAGCAGAGAATCAGACAGCACTTCAAATGTTGGCACTTCTGATTGACAGTTCAGTCTGGCAGCTGCAACGAAGCAGTCTGGTCTGGGTTGTTTGCCTGGTAGCCGCACGTGTGCCTTCGCTCTTGAGGTGCC